TCATACCTTACTATATTTTTATCATAATATCAATTTCGTGCTGAAAATTATACGCATTTTTTAACTGCCTTTGAAACGTACGGAAAATCTTTTTTTATTTATTCGGAACGTTGGAAATTCCGTCTTATGCTAGAAACACAAAATAAAAAACAGAACTTTTGTAACGATTCGAGTGAATAAAAAGATTTTCCCTACGCTTCAAAGGCAGTTAAAAATGCGTATAATTTTCGTCACGAAATTGATATCACAAATTTTGTGTTTCTAGTTCAGCTTTCGTCCTTCGAAAATTTTACCTCAAAGAGGTGTTTCATTTGATATGTATATCCATACATGAGCAAATATGCCATATGGAGTTACACCGCGCGGTACCATACCGCTGCTGCTTGAGCAAACCTTTATAATGAAAACAGCTCTTATAAAGTTTTTATTTTGTTTCTTTAAATAGAAAACTTCTTTATAAGTAAAGTCTATCTTAAACTGAAGCATTTTCATCTAAGCTAAAGGCCCGTTGTTAATTTTGAAATTTTAGCAAAAGTCATTATAAACCATTTATGAGATTGAAAACGAAAAACGTGAAGCGCATGCAATACAAAGCATTAGATTTAATTGACAATAGTCAAACTACATAACATAGGCCTAAATTTTCTACAGAGAAAGTACAAATTTGAGATCGATTTTAAGTGGTCGTTATTCATATATCCACATTCATACATACATACATATACTACCCTTCATATCAATTCAAATTTATTACATGCGCCAATGCTTTTCATTTTCAATCTCATAAATGGTTTATAATGACTTCTGCTAAAATTTCAAAATCAAAAGTTATCTATACAAATGCTATGGGGCTAAGAAATATTATTTTCTAATTTTTAGTCCATTTATAGAGCGTTGTATATTAAAAAGCGTTATTTTATTTTATGTAAAAAATTTTGCAATAGATATTAAAATAATTAAACTTGTAATGAAAGAGAACAGAAGACTATGAAGCAAAATGTTGTTTGCTTACGTTATGTATAAACATACATATGTACATACATATAGTAGCAGTTAATTTCATTTAAAGAAATGGTATGTCGTCCATTTCCGCTGTAGCGTATGGAAATGGTGCATATATTTACGCGCAACATTTAACTTCTTCTTGCGGGGCGACATCTGGAGTCTTCTAATTTATCTCCTTGATATGATATCTACAACGAGGTTCATATCTAGACTAGGTTGATATCTAGAATTTGCCACAACTAGCTTTGCTACACTACCGCCGGCAGCTTTAACAATTTAATAGTGGTTTTACGTTCTTTGGCAAATTACGCTCTGTTAGCCATAAATCTTACTATTTTTTGACCGCCTTTGAATCAAGACCCCTTGACCATATAGGGAATTCAGTTATATTTTAAATTACATTGTCATCGTGATTGGAACTATGAAAATTTCAAGTCGCTAACTTGTCGGGAAGTTAGTTTAAAATCGATTGGAAATTTCCGCGATTTCCGCGGGATGACGAAGTTAAAAAGCTTGCAAAAAACGCGCCGTGTTTTCAAAGTTCGGAAAAAGGCAGCTCATTTTAAATATTTTAGCTTTTCTTGGCTCAATTAATTAAAAAAATCAAATTTTGTGATCAATATGGTATAATTATTTTCACTCAGACGTCATGATCAGCATTAATCAGATGGATAATATGGCTGACGAAAATTGTGAGTGAAACTACTTTCATATTTTTGCATCATGCCTATTCCTTTCACGGAGGATGAAATAATTTATGTATTATATATTTTTCATGATTTGAACAAGCGTTTTCTTATTTATTTCAGTGTATATATATCAAGTTCAAATCAAGAAAATATATTCTTGCTTATTTTAATTATTTTCTTAGGCTAAAAACATAGTGGTACGCGAGCAAAGCGACGAGCATAGCATTGAACAAAGCGTCAGTTACAAACATGTGTGAACGCTTTGCTCTTCCCCTGTCAGATTTTCGACTAGCCTAGAACTAGCGTAGAACTAGACCTTTTGCCGACAGTACCAGTGCTAGCTCAATACCCAAGCAATGCTTTCAACTGTCCAGTTCTACATGGCAATGACATCATTGGCGGTGGCAATTGTCGCCCAGTGCATTACTTTGCAACCAGTTTTTCACCGGTTCCATTTTGGACAGTTTTTGTTATAAGAAAACGTTTTTGAGATTCGATTTTTGGACATTTTTTTCGTTTTTTCTTTCCTCTTACAGATTCCGCTTTTGTTACATATTTAATTAAAAAATAATAATATTATAAGCTGCACGCAACAATTTAAATTCATTAAATTTGAAAACTCACACTGCCTCCACCGCGATTTGAACTCGTGACCAACGATGGTTGACTCCGAGGTCTTCTCGCTGAGCTACTTTCGTATTGTAGGAGTACACCGCAAGTTTCAACCGTCCCGCTCTGCATTCCTTATGCACTAGTTCAGAGATAGTTCTGAGATATGTAGTTCGAAAATAGCGCTTTTTCAGACTGTCTCTAACGCTGGCATTCAGTAAGCGGTATCTAGTCACAAATAGTGACTTTTGGTGGTGAACTTGGATTTTGAGACTATTTGGTATTCAGTACGCTGTCTCACGTCTCTAGTCTAAAAAAAAAGTCACTAATTTGTCAGCTGGCTAAGAGCAGGTCTCAAAAATACAAATATGGAGAAAAAGTTAATTGCTTTCCATTTTATTAAAAAAAAACACGAATATGAAGCGAGGAAATTTGTTCAATAAGAATTTCGTTAGGAAATAAACCAAGATGCTTTAATGTCATACAAATCAATTGAAAAAAACAATATTTTTTGTTTTTAGCATTAAAATCTAAAGATTATTAAAAAAATAAAACTAATAAAAAAAAAATATTAAATAATAAAAAATCCTCTACGCCCGAGGAGTACTCGAAGCCGGTCCCTCTCGACCGGTAGCCTAATGATTTGACCACTTGGCCATTGCTACTCTTCTGGCGGCGCGGCAAAGGCATACATAAACGCTATCAGTTGACTGTCTGTGTTTGTTTTCACCACACATTTTTGGGGAACTTTTTGTGACTCTCTCCTACTGAATAGCCAAATCATCTCAAGTCACAAAAATAGTCACTAATTGCTAATCTCAAGAGACTGAATTACTGAATCCCAGGGTAAATTTTACTGCAGGGTTACTATGCGCCCTACCATTGAAACATGTACATACATACGTCTGTAATCGATGCTTTTCTCGATGCTCTTTGCTCGCCGCTCCACTATGTTTTTAGCCTTAGATTTTCTTGATAATAAGAATTTGTTTTCTAAGTTCAAAAACAAGTCTCGACTTTCTTGTGCTTTTTTTGGTTAAAGAAAAAAATTCTCTCCGTGAGCAGATTTCGAAGAGGGCAGTTAGCATGCTAAAAATGCTTAATATAACTTTTATTTTTCGAACAAACTTCTTTAATTTTTAATTTTTTATGTTTACCGCACAGCTCTGGCGCTGCAGAGCGCATTTTCTCAGATCTATCTTGATCAAAACAAATACAACAAATCGCTTCTCTTTGCCGATAGTGTAATGCATAATGTTTTCGAAATGCCTTAAAAATGATTAAAAAAAATTCAATGTTGATTTCTATGTTCATACGAAAGGTGTTCAGAGCGCTAATGCATAACTCAGTGGCATCACTTACTACATTTTTTTGATATTGCACACGGCAAACCTGTTACATATATAAGTTGTAGCAAAGATGTAAATAATACACAATCGCATTTATAACGTCTACAAGACAAAACCACTTTAGTCTTTTTATTTCATTTTGCTAATCTTCGCTATACGTTTGAGCGCAAAAACTCTTGCGCGACTTGTGACCCCGACGTGATACATAAGCACGGCTACTTGCCCGCGTTTGTACATAGTTTTGATTTCTCTATACATAGGCACCGTGCACTAATCACCAGATTTAACAGTTAACTTTGCGCAGTTGATGATAAACAATTTTCGCCTTTTGCCATCCAAAAGCCCAACGAGAATATATAAATCATGCGATTCAACAGTTAAATTGGCTGTACACATTTTTCGTTGTTTGCCAAACAAACAGTTATCTCGCAACAATTCGATTTAACAAAAGGTCTAGCAGTCAATTCCTTCGACTATACACAATCAATCAAATAGTTGAAAAAAATGTCGTTTTTAAAAAAGAAAGGCGAAACCTTGCTGCGGCAATTAAGTTTAACACCATCTAATTCAGAGGAACTCAGCGCCATGGATCACGCTGAGCTATCAGTGTGATTGGAGCAGCTGGATCGCATTCAGGATAAGTTCGAATCAACACAATCTCAACTGGAGGAAGAAGACCCCAACGAGCTGGAAACCAGCACTCGTAATGAATTCGCTGCCACTTTCATACGAGCAAAGGAAGCACTTACAAGGGAGTTGAATAAGATGGACCCCCAGTTTATGTCTTCGACGAGGAATCCACCGCCTCAAGAGCAGTCATCTGTGATTGTGGTGAAGCAACCAAAGTCGCGCCTACCAAAACTACAATTGCCATCATTTGTAGGGGCATACACAGAGTGGCCAAACTTTTTGGGCATGTTTCAAACGGTTGTTCACAATGACACCGAGCTGTCAAACCTGGAAAAGTTCCAGCACCTCCGTTCATGCCTGAAAGGCGCAGCAATGGACACCATCCAGTCGCTTGAAATTCGTGATGAAAATTACATAATTGCATTCGATTTACTCGTTCAAAGGCACACATTCAAGAACTATTCGGATTGCAGAGGGTGAGCGCTGACAAGAAATCAGGAGAACTGCGGGTGCTTGTGGACAAAGTTGTATCGCATGTTCGAGCGTTGCAATCACCTCTGAACAAATTGCCGATTGTTTACTTCAATACATCACAGCTCAGAAATTGGATGCTCTCACTCATACACTGCGGGAAGAAAAGGTGCCGGCTGACAAGCTGCCCACTTATTATTATTATTATTATTATGAGACTTGAGCACTGCTGCCCACTTGGACGGACATGGTTACGTTTTTGCATAGGAGGTGCCAGACTTTGGAGAATATGACTCACGCTATGGTAACACAGACACCTAGCGCACAGGTGAGCAATAACAAGTTTCGTAAAACCTCCATTATCATTTCAAAGGCTACTCAAAAAACCTGTTCCGTCTGTAATAAGCACGACCACGTCATCTATTCTTGCCCATCGTTCGCCAATTTAAGCCCAAATGACCGCTGGAAGGAATCCAAAAGAGCTCAGCTGTGCATAAATTGCCTTAAACCAGGCAATCACGTGCAGCAATGCAAGTCTTCTGCTTGCCGCCGGTGCTCACTGAAGCACCATACGCTACTGCATTTTGCTCAAACGGATCAGACAATGCCTAGTGCAGCTGAGGTCTCACCTAGTCCACCACAGCAAACAGCTCTCGTTGCCATGGGAACAACCAGCGACTCACTCTCATCCACTTCACACGCCGGCTCAAACGAATGTGTGCTACTTGCGACTGCCGTTGTCTTAATTCAGAACAGCGCGGGCTCGCTTGTAACATGTCGCGAAACCCTCGACTCTGCTTCGCAGCTTAATTTTATAACGACCAGACTTGCCAATCAATTACAGCTTAAACAAGTAAGAAAGTCT